TTCACTCCTTCACTCCTTCACTCCTTCACTCATTCTGTACAGATGCTCCTAAACCCTCCCTCTCTGTCTCCCTGTCGCCACAGGTCAGTCCGCTGTTCCAGAAGCTGGAAGCAGATCAGATTGAGTCCCTTCGGAAGAGATTTGGGGGACAGCAGGTGAGTCTGGGGGGCAGTGAGGGGGACTCCTTTGTTTCTGCGCTCCACTCTACCTCTGGCCCTTGTGAGCAAGAATGTACACTATTTTGATGTTGCTGCTGCACAGGTTAAACTGTAAAATATGCAATATATTTCAAAAAGAAGCAGAATTCCTCAGCTTTTCTTCTAACTTAATTTCCTTTCTCCTCCGTCCTCCCCCTCTCGCTCTCTCATCCCTCTTTCCTCCTCCTCCTCTCCCTGTCTCTAGCCTGAGGAGTTAGAAGGCAGCCAGCAGGTACTGGGAAGTCGTGTTGTGTGCTCTGACTGCTGCCTGTGTGAAATCAAAATCCAGGAATGCCGAAATATGGAAACCACGTCTATAACACCTTGCTGCTGCGCAAAACTTATCCTTCAGTTTGTGTCTGTCATCAAATAACAGCTGATCAAAATTCCCCAGATATCTTTAGACACTACACAGTGAGCCCTTGGGTCATACGCATACTTGAGTGCCTGAAGGAGGCGGGTTCACTTTCTGTGCAGGACACGTAGATGATCTCCACAGCCTCCGAAAAAGCATGTAAAAATCTGTGATTCCAATATTTAATTTTAGAGTAGGATATGTGCAAGAATAGCAACAACCAGACAGTCTAATTGCTAGCACCATGCAGATCACAATAGAGCCAAAAGACAGCCAGCAGGCAGGCAGGCTGCACTGGAGCTGCCGGGCTACAGCGGTTCTGATTGGTCGGTTCACGTTGCTTGGCGCCCGGGATTGGCTGGTGTGTGATGTCATCGTGCAGAAGCTAGAGCTGATAGGTGGCCATGTTATAGTGCTTTCTGACTACTCAACTACCCAGCAGTGTAGTGCTGTGGTGTCTAGGACAGTTCTTTGCATTCCTTTAGATTTTGTCACAATATTGTTTTTAATGTAAAACAAATTCCTTAAATGTTTGATGCATTCAGTCAACTTCTCCCTTGTAAAACTGCATGCAGTTGGCAGATCTGCTCCATTCCTTCCATTCATCTTCCACAGTGCATGGGTTGTTCTCCCTTTTTACATGTTTTGTACAAGTCCTTATCAAAATATTAAAATCACTTTAAGGACATTGAGGGCCCATGGTGAAGCACACTCCCTGTTTGATGGCTATAGTCTAACTTGATTGTGCGCGTGAAGTGTTTGCTTGATTAACAGTGCCTGCTGTGAACATCCCCTTTCACAAAACAGGGTTATTTTGTTTCTTGAGTGTTGTGTGAAAATAATTGGAGTTAATTACGCGAGTTCAGGAAGGATGACAACAGCCAAGTTCAATCAGCCTTAACGTGTAATCAACCCTGACGTCATTTCCACCCTTCCTCTCCCTCTCCCCTCCACCTCTGCCGCTGCCCCTTGGTCACCCCTCGCTCTGCATGGGGGTCCCAGTCTCCTCGTCCTGGGGCCAGGAGGTCAGCCCTCAGCCCTCAGCCAAGCGGGTTAGGACAAATCATAGACACTTAAACTCTCAATAAACCTTTTAACATGCCTGATTCTTGGCTGTGGTCACTTCTAGTGAACTGGACTTTGTGGCTGGTCCTTGCTTTTTTTGTTGGCACATGCTCTGTGTCTTGATTGTTTTGTTTCCTTTCTCCTGCTCAGCCCAAAACAGATCCCAAACCACCTGCCGGCCCTAAACCAGCCGCTCCCGCCCCCGCCGCTGAGGCTGCTGGGAATGTGCCCGACCCCGAGAGAGCCAAGCGCCTTGCGGAGGAAGTAGCCCAGCAGGTGAGGCAAGAAGTGGGACCAGTGGGACAGCCCGGACACCAGGGTGACCTTTCCTGACCCTGGAGGGGGGTGGCTGTTGCCTCAGGCTTTAGCTGCAGCTCAGATTTACCTGTTGTTCTGCAGGAAGGGAATGTCAATGGAAATCAACTTTCCTCAAAACTGGTAGTCGTTTAAGTTTTTTGGAGTATTCAAAACTGACTTGAGTAAGTAAGCTTCAGGAACTGGTTAAAGTCAGTGGAACTTAAACCAGTTCCTCTAATTACTGGCTTAACTGGACCAGTTCAGCCCCTTTCTTAAGCCACTGGTGATTTAGAGACCTGTAGGACCTGCATCAGGATTGTGCACTGCTGTGCATAGACTTGTGCTGCAGGATGTGAGGGACGCTGAGTCACTGGATGAGATGATTTTGAAATTTGAAACTGAACACCTTTTTTTGAGTAAGTCTGTTGAGGGCTTGACCTCAGTAGGACGGGTCAGAGGTTAGGGTCTGCTCTACATACAAGAGATACCGATCTTCCCATTTTAAATCCAGCCCTGCTTTCCACTAATTTATTAACTTAACTAGAGCTGTTTTTCACAACGTTTTGCTGCTGCCTGAAGATTGTATGGCAAACAGCAGTATCTGTTTTCTTCTTCGGAGTCAGGTCGTCGTCTGAGGTTTTTAAGGCCAGTTTCTTTTGCAGGGTGACCGCGTTCGAACCCTAAAGGGCCAGAAAGCAGAGAAGTCAGTGATCGGAGCCGAAGTGGCCAAGCTCCTGGAGCTGAAGAAGCTGCTGGCCCTGGCAGAGGGCAAGAGCCCCGAGCCCCCCACACAGAAAGGGAAGAAGAAATAACGCAAAGGAGGGGCTGTGGTGCAAGAAGAGGGCATTGATTGGGTCGTGGGTGATGGGGGTGGGGACAGGAGGAAGGGGGTGTGGCTCATACAGGAAGAGAGAGTGTATCTGTGCCTTTGAAGGATGCTGTTGAGGCATTCCACTCCTTGTCAGCAGTTTCGGTATCAGGATGTATAAGGGTTTGGGTTAGGCATGGTAGGATCAAAGATGGAGGGCAAAGGAGGGGTGGATAGCAGAAAAATGAGGGAAAGGGACTAGGAAGAAGAGGATGATGAGGAGCAGTGACAAGGCTCTTGTGGGAAGCTACTGCAATCGAACAGAAAATGCACAGCTCTTTACAATACAGACAACTCTATCATGTCACTCAGTGCACCAGGATATCTTTTCTGTTCCTCCAATGACACATAAATAGGGAATTCAGGTTACACTTCATTTTATTGTCTGCTGTGTCAAAGCGATAAGGGATTAGCCAAGATCCATAAATAGGTTTCTTGAGAATATTCTTCAGAATAGGTTCAAACTAAGACTTTTTTTCATCATTTGGATAGTCTTAAACTGAGTGCTTATTCTTAAGGGGGGAGGGATAGTGCCTTTAAAATAGAAAATAAGGACAAAGTTGGATCTTTTTGTAAGTTTTTTTTCCCCCCCCATGTTCAAAAATCAACATAGCCTTTCCAACTCAGTGAAGCATTTGTGCACAAGAGTGTGATGAAAGTGTGACATGCCCTTCAGCTGGGAGCAAATCAATATTTTATACTGTAACAGAACTCCTTTAATTCTGGGCTGTATTGGTTATAATCAAGGCCATCTGTTATTCTCAGGACCACTTTTACTTTGCCGTTTCAATATAAACCATCTTGGAGTTGGATTCTTGTGTTTTTATTGTACCATCTTGTGAGCTCAGTGCTTATCGCTGGCCATCAGGCCTCAAGGCAGAGGAAATGTGACAAGAGATCACATGAGATGTTAACCAAGATCTCATGTTAACACAGGAGAGCCTGTTTGAAACTGTTGGTATAAAATGGTGTCCTGGTTAATTTTGGCCTTAAATCATGCATCTTCCTAAACTCCACCCCCTCTTAATTCAAGTTATGAAGCATATTCTCTCTTCTGCACCTGTTCTGCTGTGGAGTTACAGGTGCAGGAGGGGGCGGGTACTGTACTTCAGTGGTATTTTAGTTACATTAGCAGTTACAGCTACCCCCAGGCAACTTGAAGTCTTCACTAGGTCCTGGCTTAGGCAAAGGTGAGATGAAATGACCTGACCCAGCTAGTCCTGAAAAAGAATCATTGCTTAAACCAATACAGCAGCTGATGTTCCTGCAGGAACAATGTATACCTGCCATCTGTGATCCATGTAAATATTTAGCAACAAATTTAAAAAATGAAAGCTACACACCATAAATGTATTACCCAGACTTTAATTTAAAAAAAGTTGCATAGCTTACAACAGTATACAATAAAAGTATTTTAGTTCCAACTGCAATGTAACATTAACAGATACATAGATGAGCCATTGAGCATGCATGTTTTTTAAATGGCATTAAATGATACATTTGTCAAGCACTTTGGCAAGACATTGAAAAGAGCGAATACCTAGGATACAGTTTCATGGTTCATTAACAGAGTAAGATACACTATTACAGGAGTATAAAAGTTATGTATTTGTAATTGCCTGGGCTGGTGTGCTGTTTAGACTATAGCTTACTGGCACAGCTGGCTGCCCTAGTTTCGAGGGCACAAGGTGCCAGAAGTCTGCAGCCTGACAGCGGCACGTGCCCTGAACTCCGAGCAAGTCGTTCCACAAGAGAGACTGCCCGACTGCAGGCCGAGACATTCGTTTGTTCTCAACCATCACTTGGGATGTCTCTCTCTGGGACATGGACGGTTTTCCAAAAGGGGGGAAAAGGAAAAACTCTGGTAGGATATGTTACAAAAGAAATCTTGACTGTTAGGTTAACCAGGTAGGGGTGTACAGATAATTGCATTTCGAGGCACGACCGACCCAGTTCTTCACACGCTCCAGGTATTTAGTCAACAATAGTCACGCAATCCCTGCCCCAGCCTGCTAGCTCTCACCCCAGCTTCCTCAGACAGCCATGCTGCAGGCCCTGGAGAGCCACCTGCTCTTCCTCCATTACAGATGCATTTTCCCCACCTCTTTAATCATGATTTTAAACCAGGTTTGTGTCTCTTGCTGCGATCAAAGCTGGGAAATTTCCCCTGCCCTTTTCCTGCTTTCCATAACACCTTCATTGTTCTGTCTCCCTGTCCTCTGCCTCTCGAGAGAGAGCACGAGGACGCTCTGTCTGGCCGCTACTTCACCTATCCCACATTCCCTCGCGTTTCAACCTCCCTTCCACGGAGCCCTGCAAAACCCACCCGTTTCCTCTGCAATTAAGTGTAAACCGATCTTTTTTTTAAAAAAAAAAAAAGTGGTTAAGAGGAACAAAGATAAGACGATGGCCTGGCGATGGCTAATTTCTCACAGGGTCAGGAGGGAGTCGGTCACTCGGCCCCGCCCTCGCAGGCACCCCAGACAGGGAAGGGTCGCCCCCCCCCATGGGGACGGCAACGACTCCCCCTGCAGATTCCCCGACACCTGCCCCCCTCCCGCCCATCTCCTTCCTGCCGCCAGGGTGCGGCGCTCTAGGGCTTCCTGGCGTTGACCAGCTTCTCGATCAGCGCCTGCCTGGTGCGCTGCACCTCCTCGCTCAGCCGCTCGATCTCTGCCTTCAGCTGCTCGTTCTGCTCCGCCAGCTCCTGCGCCCGCTGCTCGTTCTCCAGCTCCCTCTCCTTCCTGCTCTTCTTGGAGGCTCCAGCTCCCGAGGACTGGGGCCCCCTCCTCTTGTGCCCGGCCAGCCCCCTGCCGCCCTGGGGGCTCACACTTGGTGGGAGCAGGGGGGACCCCGACTCCGCGGGCGAAGGGGGGTCCTCTTCGCTGGAGGCCGGGGATGGGTGGGGATGGTTTTTCTCCTCCTCATACTGCTGCTGCTGCTGCTGCTCTGCCTCCTCCTCTTTCTCCTCTTCCTCCTCCTCCTCCTCTTTGGGGTGCCCTTGCAGACGCCCTGCGATTTCCAGGGCTCCCTCTCCTTCCGCCACCGCCGTCTCCCCTGCTCCCTCGCTCAGCAGCTCGAAGAACTCGGGGGGCAGCAGGTCCCCGCCCGCGCCGGCTGGCAGGGGGGGCTCCGCTGCACACAGCTGCTCCTCCCCCTGGGCCCACAGCTGGCCGTCTGTCAGCCAGGCGAGGGAGCAGGTCTCCAGCATGTCCAGGAACTCCTGCTCCTTCTGCGGCAGGGGAACGAGAGCAGCGTCATTCAGGGAGATCAACTCGCTTTTGGGTATAAAAGCATTTGGCAAAACCAGTACAGCAACACAAACAGCTCTGTCCCCGCCCCCCCCCCAAGTTTTTCTTCCTGCTGATGCTCCATTACAGACATTTAGCACTCAAATATGCACCTGGCTCCAAGCCCTGCAATGGCAGGTATTTAGGAAAGCCAAGCTCTAGGTCTGAAGAAACTGGCATGAATAAAGAATTACACATCCAGCTCCCAAGTCCTCCTCCCTCCCCAGCCACCGCGAGACACTGACCTCATGGCAGTGGTCCGGCTGAGCGCTCTTCAGGTCCCCCGTGTCGGAGAAAAGGATGTCCTGCAGGTCCTCGTACCACGCCTCCAGCTCCGCCCCGCACAGCGGCCCCACGCCAGGGGGGTATGGAGAGAACGTCATCGACTCTGCTGTCATGTCGCACCGCGCTGCACTCTGCACCCAGACAACAAAAACAGCTCACTCAATCTGTCCACACGGGAGAAACTCGGCACATACCAGGACTTAAGAGTGTCCCGCACCGACAGGCTGCAGGACCCAAGTCTCTTCAGTCTGAAGAGAGTGTCCCGCACCGACAGGCTGCAGGACCCGAGTCTCTTCAGTCTGAAGGCAATTTTGAATCTTGGTCACAAACGAGAGTCAGCCCACCGGACTTCTTCAGAATGAACAGCGACACGAACTAAAGAACATAAGTGGGGGAAAATACATGGAAGAGCACTGAAAACTGAGAACAGGAGGAAGTTCTCTACACAAAGGGTGGTGGGAGTGTGACACAAGCCAACCATCCATGTTGTTGAAGCCGATAGCCTGGCTTCTTTCAAGAAACAGCTGGATGAGATCCTGGGATCAATCAAGTACCAATGAGCAAACGGGACAGAACTGATGAATGACCTCCTCTTGTCTGCGAATTCCGGTCCGAACAGAGATGTTTTAATATAGTACAACTCTGTTCTCCTCTCCACCGATAGCTAGTGTGTGGCGAGTGTACTGGTGCAGTTGGGGCTGCACACTGCTGGTGGTGGAGTCGAGTTCCCATTACCCGTATAGCACTTTGACTGGAGTGTCCTGAAAAACTCTATATAAAAGTGTAAGTGTAAGTTATAAGGTAATAATATGACAAGCTGCGGTGCACTTATGGGGGTGGCATTGAGACTGAGAAACAGCACGCCTGCTGGCTTACATTCACTTTGAAAACATGCCCCATTTATAATGTATAATGTTTATAATTTTAAAAGTTTGATACTGCAAGCGGCTTCAAAACTCATAGCACACCTTCATCTCTTACTCCCTTATATAGCTCAGTAAGTGGGGAAAAAAAAAAAATTATACGGGTTTATCAAAGGTAAGTAACTGTCACCAGTCTTCACAAGTACTAGAACATAACTCTTTGCTTCTTATCCTAAAAAAACAACAGCACCATTCACCTTTTAATCAAGTCTGGCGATGATTCGGCGGTGTTGGTGTGTCAGAGACGATCTAGGGAAAAACAAATATCTTTTGTTAATATCTTGTACTCAGAAGAATCTGAATACCCCCTACAGCAGAATCAAAACCTACAGCTGGGCAGGCTGACACACATTTTACACAGCTTCTGTCACACATATCAGACAGCATCCGAGATAAAAATGGACTGATTGGAACACGCCCATGCTTAGGTATTCTGTGATGTGCTGAGATGATAACCAAGAAAACGATCTGCATCAAAGTTACATTTAATATTTTATGTCACATTAAATTTTCAGACAATACTTCAAATTGTTGCCGTTTATAACTATTCACTCCAGGTGGGACGTTTTAAAATGTTGTTTTTTTTTTTAATAAATAAACATGGCTGGACAAGGGACTTGTTTATTTCCTACCGGGCTAAATCCACTGTGAAATTTAGGTCACGCTGGTTTCCATGCAAACATCGGCGTCGCTCGCGAGCGCCCCCGTGCGGTCGTCTGGGTTACAGCGCTGATCCCTCGCTTAACCCCGCGGCGAGGAGGCGCTCGAGCACGGGGCACAGGTGGAAGGAGCTCGTTAACGACACACAGGTGAACCAGCGCAGTTGAAACGTTTCTTAAAAATCTATACACTTTGTCATTAAATGGCGCTCTATTTGTCTCCATGGTGCTATTTCTTGATTACCTTTACTCAGCGCGGATAAGAACAGAAAAACACTGTTCCCCTCATGGCTCAAGTTAGTTTCCACTATCCAAACTCACGGAGGCAAATCCGTTACCAGTTCAGAGGAGAGCGACCACAACAATAACTCCTCTCTGTTTAGCATTTATGTAATTATTGTTCTGTACACACCGAAACAGTAAACTCGGCGTTCTACTCCTGGTGTTAGAAAATATATTGGACGCTAGGCAGTGGAAGCAGTAGAAACTATCGCAGCTAGCATCGGAGAAAAATGGTTTAGTATGCATGTTTTTTTTTTAATGAAACCTTGTCTCAATAGGACGATTTTCTTCCTCGGCTTGTTTGTTCATCGAGTGCGGGTGGTTGTATTACGTAATGGAATCAGACACACAAAGGCAGTCTGAGGCTCTTGATCACGCTTCCTGGGAAGCATAATTAACAGTCAAATTCACTTGTAGTACTAAACCAGTACGGAATGAACACACATGAATTAAAACATTTGAAGCCTAATCGATTTCCTAAACTTATATATATATAAACTGACAGTCCCAGTCATTCGATATACGGACGTCTTGGTTAGCGAAACACTGAAACAGTGTGAGGTTTTATTAAATTAAGCTTGAATTACACTGACATTATTTCAATATTAATTGGCTCCTAGGTTGTAATTCAGGTATAGACGTGAAAAAAAGGTAACTAAAAATAGAATAACTTTTTTTTAACGCTCACATTCAAGACAAGATCGAACATCTTAAAAACCAACAATTCGCCACATTCGAAAGAACATTGTTATTAAAAAAAAAACACAACACAAAAAGGAAAACCTCGTAATGTTAAAACGGGAATAACAACTGTTTTCCTAAAACGGACATGGGAGTTCTGCCAAAACATGTCCCTGCTTGTATTTTTTCCACAACCTCAACCCTCACCGCTAGGGAATAAGTTAAAGTTAGCACAGCGTGTCCAGAAAAGAGCGAAAAAGCCTTTGCACGGTTCTTGGAATTCAGAATAGACAAAAAAAAACACTCACCCTTTTTCTTTTATTATTTCGCTTTCTTGACTGTCTGTGGTTCGGAGAATTTTTATTTTCTGGTGTGGAGTGATGATAGCTCATGTTAACCATTGTTCAGTAATGTCACTGAATGTGAATTTCGGAAACTCCCGGCGATGCTTATATACTTGGAGCAACCAAACCACTTGAGACAACAGGGGAGGTGACAGTCTAGTCTGACTGCTTAGCGTCAAGCTGTGATTGACAGGTCTGCTGTCCATTCCACGCAGCGCTCGAGGGCACTTTCGCTTAGTGATATCCAATGAGAGGGCGAAGATGCTCAGCTCTCCAAGATGTGTGGCAAAGAAGGGGGCGGGCCTAGTTAACCTTGCTAGCTGTCGCGGGCTGTATAGTTTGTGTGCCGAAGAAGTTGTGATGCAGTCAGAAGACGCCTAGGACGAACGCCGGGGCATGTGGGAGTCATGTGAAATGATGCAATCGTTGGCAACCGGTTTCCAAGGAGAAGCAGGCAGACGACCTGTTAAACTTTGATTTGGTGCCGTTCTCTGAACGGCGTTTAAAACTTTTAAGACCACATTGCGTGTAACTTACTCGTAGGCTGGTAATGAGAACTTTTGTTTTCGTCATTTTTTTCAAGTGGGAATGAGGATTTGGGGAGAACATTTTCGGGGACGGGGGGTCTCCAGCAGAAAAGTGCTGATTTTAGAGTCCTTCTCAGCACCGTGAAACCTCGCAGTTTTAAAACCGGGAGTATTTCTTCCTTACTAACAGTGGTCTTCCGAAAGCAGCCTCATTCCCTGCCTGTGAATTTTATGTCGTAGTAGTCGCCATGATAACTAGCTCTCAGACATACCCGCACGCCGAAAAAAATCCTGATCCAACAAAATTCGTTCATTACTCAATCGCAGTGTTTCTTAAGAGTTGTATATAATGAATTTCAGGCTTTCTTAAATGCGCGCTTAAAAGTTGGTCATAACTCAGAACTTCAATAGCACTCTGAAGTTTTCAGATAAGTATCCTGAATATATACTGACTTTTATTAACGCTAATCTGAGCAAAAGCTATTTTACTGTACTATTATTTATATTTTGTTTTTTAGTGTAACCCGGTAGAAAATATAACGCTTTGTGTTTATTATTGTATTGCTTGTATTTATAGTAAAAAAAAAGTTGCAAATAGCCTATCACTGTCCCCCGTGGCCATGAATCAGCTAACCTTTACTTTTGAAACCAGTACTTTTGCAAAGTCATTTCCGCCTGTAGCTCGAGAAGCTCTCCCTCCAAGTTCCGGGAAAATGGCAGCTTCGGGCAGGACCGCAGACACGATCGCAAAAAAAATTGAGTTATCGGCTCATTCTGACTTAAAATTTTATTTCTGGTGTCATCTGTCGTTTTTTTTTTTCTTCTCGTAACGCCAGACGGCAACACACGGGGAAGTTCATTTACAACGATTAATTAAGCAGCGTTAAAAAAAAGCACAAATCTGAATGCAAGAATACCAGCAGAACGGTACCGTGGGCTATTGAAAGTTATTCGTTAGAGGATGACTTCTGTCTGCTTATTTTTATGCAATGGCAGCTTACTCCCATCATCAGTCTGTACATACACTTCGCTGTAGGAATGTGAAGTGCGGCTAACTGGTTTGTTCGCACGAAACGTTTCATGCAGAAGTCACGCTTTCAAGAATGTGACTCTAAAAGGGGAGTGGATTTGAGTACTGTATTCCGTGTGGTGTGGAACTTGGTTTTTAGATGATCTGATTGTTTCTATTGGAAGGCTGCAGTCGGGATATTAATAACTTTCAATCCTTCTGGAGGGAGAGCCATGTCGCCCCCGCCCCCTTAAGACGGCCTCTCCAGATGTTGGCTAACATCTGGGTCTTGTTCTCCTCGGGGCTGCTGCGGTGATCTCGCCCCCGCCCCCCAGATGTCTGAGTGGGTGTGGGAGCTGTAAGCCCGAACTTTACTCCTTCACTTTCTGCAGTGATGAAAGGAGATGTTGTAGCACAGGGAACAGAGGAGTGACCCAACAGCTTCTCGGTGGCCTTAAATCGGCGTTCGAATCGCTGCTCTTCGTAACTAATTCAGCATCAGAAAAGGAGTAAATAGTTTAAGAATTATTTAAAACAACCAAGCAAATGCGTGACACTGTGCATCGCAATAGATTGAAAATAGATGTACATTTTATCAGTCAGAATACTGTTTACAAGTTATGAATTTAAAAACGGAACATTACGAAAGCCCCCGATCTGTCTTGGAATGAGACAGGAAGCCGAACACGAGTATTGTGTAACAGGTAACAAGTAAGGGCTAAGTGCACAACGAGGCGTTTAATGCAGCTGTTATTATAATCTTCCCGAATGCTTCGACAAAATGAAACATACGCGTTGCTCAATGTGTTATCTTTCATTAAAATAAAAACGTGGACCAGGTATTCAAAAATACCACTTAGTTGTCAAATTTCTTTGCTCGTTCCCCCCCTGGATAAAGCGCAGGGGCGGCACGGTGGCGCAGTGGTTATCATGGCTGCCTCGCAGTGCTGTGACCTTGGGGTGCTGTCTGTCTGTTTACGTGGAGTTTGTATGTTCTTTGTAGGTTTCTCCCAGGTGTTCCAGTTTCCTCCCACAGTTCAAAGACACGCTAGTAGGATAATTGGCTTCTGGGGAAACTGGCCCCAGTGTGAGTGTGTGTGTGTCTGTTCTGCGATAGGCTGGTGTCCTGTACAGGGTGTACCCCCACCTTACGCCCTTTGCTTGCCGGGATAGGCTCCGGCTCCCCCGCGACCCTGAATTGGATAAAGCGCGCCTCAACGCCGCACGAGCGCAGACCAACCAGCAAGCCGTGGCTAAGGGGGGCCCTAGCAACAGCACGAGCTGTGAGCGCAGCGAAAAGCAGGCACATACCCGAGTCCCTCTGCAGAGCGACGCTGTCGCCGAATAATAACAACATCTGTACATGATCTCCGGTGACAAGAGTCCCTTTTCCCACTCCTTCAGTTTGTTTCCAATATGCCCCCATAGAATTGCAAGCTTTATTGTTCGGGTTGTTATAATTGCGCCAATGAAAAACTCTTGTCAGAAATTGCGCAACGTCAGAGCTCTAATTTATAGGTACAGCGGTTTAGCAGTATAGGACAAACTAGTGTTTGCGGACAACAGCGCAAGACTTGATAAAGGCAGTAACCTGGATTCTTTAAAAGAGGGTTTTCTCTGCTAAAGTGAAATTCGACCTAAGTATCCGCCGGGCACTGGGTGCGTACGATTCACGGTAGAAAACCACAGAGCCCAGTCTCTGACAAGGGATAGAGATGTCAACTGTTTTGGTCGCGTCAACGCGCACGCCCTTCAGAGACGCGTACGGGTTTAACACACTGGTGCGAGGGGAATCGCCTGGAAATTTTCACTTTTCCCGCTGCTCTCCTTTCGGCACCGCGGGCTGCGGTGCTTTAATTCTGACAGTGAAAGAAACACGTCTGTTTTTAAAGGAGGCAAAACTGCAAAAAAATCTGGGAACAGGTTAGGAACAGCGGAGCGACCCGCTAGCTGGCTACGCTTCGTGTGTGTGTCCGGCCCGGGTCTGCCCCCCAGGTACACACCTGCGCCTCTCGTCCACTGGCCGGGAGAGAAAGTATGTCCGCCACATGTTTTGTGGCTTCACCCAAACGGAAGAGGTCAAAAAACTTGTGTCCATCCCTCCGCGGGTCCGGGTCTGTTGTGTCTTCAGCGCTCCGGGGTGTTGTTTGGATTGGCATCCGGGACAGGAACGATTAAGACGCCAGATGATATGATACGATTTTTATTTTTTTAGAAACAACACCTTAGTGGACACAGGAAATAATGCTCTCCCCTAAACCGAGCAGCGTTATTTGTGTATTTTTACAAAAAGTCGGGGGAAGAGTTTTGCACGCCAATGCACGCTTAAGGTAAAATCCTGTCTGTCCCAGTCGATAAACGTGTTACGGCCCAGACGCGGTCCGGCTGAGCACCAGCAGAAGTGTCATCTCAGCTATCGCGGTTCCTACGCTAGCTTCCACGCCGCGGTGGAGATGAGGTCTCTTGACTATCTTACCGTCACGGCTTAATTCCCTTCCTGTATAAATCGGCATTAAAAAAGCAACAGAAAAATGCACTTTAAACGTATGCTTCTTAACAGTTACAGGAAGCAGGCGACAACGTTTCGACATTTCCCTTTTTTTTGCGATTTATCGTTGGCTTAGGAGCCTCGATACATTCCGTATATTTAATGTTGGTTAGCTCGGACGTCGGATTACTTGCGACAAGTCTGGATTGTACTCTAATATCTTGTCCTCTCGTAACATGACTGCAAAACACGAACCCGAAGAAAAACGTAAAACGGGCATAAGAAATTATCCGTATTTTGAACATGCAACCAAGACGTAATACAAGGAATCGGTCTACTTTACAATATACTATTGTATTATTCTGTTGAGTAGACCCAATTCTAAAACTAATTCGTGCTTGAAAATTAATTAATAATTAATCTTCCATTTCTGTTTTATTCTTCCTAGATTTCCACGTAAATTAGTAATACGTGAGCAGGTAACACGACACGCCCGCTAGGCCCGCTTACTGCGCATGGTGTACACCTTACATGAATGTGCATAGATAATACGGGTCTTTTTGATGCCGCGTTCACTATAACTCAATTATAACCCAGTACAGATTTAATCTGATTTAATCAGATTTAATAGTCTAAACACAACAAACAGTTCCTTATCGTCACATTGCTATTCTCAGAATATGCGAGTAACACTAAAAAGATCGGTTTCTGTGCAAGATCACATTGCACTGAAGTCCAGACGGCGTTCAGCTTTTTCTACATTAAAAACGTCTCCTCTCCCTTTGCATTGTGGGTAAGGAATTCCCAGGGCTGTCCCTCGGCAAGTGCGCATGCTCCAGAGGAAACTCCATGATTTTTTTTGGCACGGAATCCAAGGGAAAAATAGCAACTGGGAAGCAGGAATTAAAGCTACACCGGAGAGTCCAAATCAAAACAGAACAGACATTGCGTGGCCATAATCGGGCCAGGCCAAGGGCTAGAGAGCCGAACGGAGCCATCGGCTCTCCCGAAGGGACCCGGGACCTTTCCAAATTTAAAGTGATTTGCAACAATGCAGCGGGCGCAATAAAACGAAGCTTTATTGCTCTTTGTTTTTTAACAGGACGGGGGAGACGGGAAAGGAGAGAAGACAGCGGCCGCCCCCCCTTCTCTCTCTCTCCCTCCTCAACGTCCACCGACACCACTACAACAACAACGAAAAGTCTGTCAACTCCACTCCGGCAGGAAAAAAAAACTTCGACAAAGCGAGGGAGGTACGTCGCATCGAGGGTTGCAGAAGCGTGTTGAGAAATTCAGATTGAAAGTGCAGAACCGGGACTTCAGATCCGCCGCTGTCGCCTGCGCTGCTGTGTTGCACCCGGAGCAGACTGGATTTGTTTACAGTGTGGAGAAATCGCGTATTTCAAGCAGACCTGCTCCTGTTTGCCGGATGATCTAGGGAAATAAACAGTTTGGCATTCGCGTTAACGCTAGTAATGTGGCTTTTAATCTTTATTTAATCGAGAGTGGGTTGCTGCTAAGGGAGAATAGACAGGAGACCCCCAAAACGGCTGGAGGTTTGTTTACATTTCAGTTGCAGAACCCCGACTTTCGGCAAGTAACTAACCTCGTTAGAGCCAAAGGGTTAATTTGTGATCCTCAACGACTCCTTGCGCTGAAATGCAGAATATGGAATTCATATCGTATTTATACTTAGCACTTGGCGTTATAAAAATGAGACTCTTGAAAGGGACTCTAGCCGGCCGGAGAGTTGTCGTTGTGTGTGGCATGTTCCGTTGGTCAGATTCATCGATTGCTTTACGTGGGTAGTTTTGCGTTTCGTGTGGTTTTCTTTTTAGCAAATAAGTTAAATATCCTCCCCAAACTTATATTATATTTAAATTGTGTTCTTAAC